TGTGTGTGTGTGTGTGTGTTTTCCCCACTCGGTTTGCATTTGAGTGAACAAAAGTGATGTATGGATCGACACTACTGCCCGTACTGTAGAGTGAACGTGAGCATTTATCACACATGTTATCTTTACACACACTGAGGTGGTGTTTTTACGCAGCAGATGCCTTGACCTGCTCCTCCTCTGACTGTCGGAGGTGAAGCGGCTCTGATCAGTTAATCGACAGTGTGCAACGAGTGTGTGTTTCTAAAATTCACTGTGGTACCTGGAAGGAAACGGTCAGTGCTTCTGTTTAGATTTCAGCTCCGTTTGACCAAAAAAAACACAAAAAAAGGACGAAAAGAAGGGAGAGACTTGGTGACAGGATTTTTCTCACAGCTTCTTCTGAAGAATGTTTTCATGATCTAAAAGCTACATGTTGATTTAAAAATAAAAAAGCTAAAATAAGAATGTAAACAGTTAAAACGCTGCGGGACACTCCGTCTGCACTTGGATTTCTGTTAGTCCAGATAAAATAACCTTAGTGCTACCTGTTGTTGTGTAGAATGAACAGGGCTGCATCTGTAGACCTCCCTCCAGGCAGGTTTTTCTCTGGCAGAATGAAAAAGGCCTTTGAAAGAGCATTTTGAACGGTGTGGCGGCTCCTGGCTGCAGAGCGGAGCGTCCGCCGCCAAAAACCTGTTACCTCTGCTCCTCCCCTTCACTTCGCAGACACTGAAAAAAAAAAAAGCATCTCACTGGAGGAAACGCTCGCAGGGCCGAATGTGAAAACTGTCCACCAACTGCGATGTGGTTTTAATGTGGTATAATGTGTAAAAGAAGAAAGCGCTCACTGTGTTGTGACAGTGCCGAGGCCCCTTTTGTCTCAGATACTCTCTTCAGGAGCCACTGAATGCTTTTACAGTGAAGCGTCCTGGGTCGGAATCCTCCGGTTTTATTACGCTTGTCTCGTTTGTCAGAAAGGGAAACAAAACCTCTAAGTACTTCGGTGCACATTCCTGCCGATCCTGCCCGGTTGAAACACGACAAAGTAGTTCCAAACGACCCATTCCAAGTGTTTTATTAAGCGAGGGACATGTGGAGCGCCAGAGTGCGACTAAGCTGGTTTTCATTCCGAACAAACCACCTCCTTCGAGACTTTTTTTAAGCTAGTGACTCTCCTCAGTTCCTGCTGGAGTTTGTGTGTAGAATGTATTCGCTGGGCGAGAGGAAACAGTTTTATTATCGGCCAATATTGTACAGAGAAGCTGATCCCAGATTTCCCAGTGTAGAGAGAGGGGGAAGAGAAACTCAGGAAATGTCAGAACCAATGAATTATTTTCATTTAGATGAGAGAATGAGCGTGTTAGAGGTTTGACAGATGGATGGATGAAGGAGTGCGTGAGGGGAATCTGGCTGTAATGTACAGTAGATATGACCCAGGCGGAGACAGCAGGAAGAGAGAGAGATGAAAAGTTTCAGGGGTGAAGGGCGACGGGCGGTTTGGTGGCGGAGGTGCCACAGTCGTAACGTTTAAGAGGAAGAAAATCTTAAAATAAAATAAAAAAATCAAACGCCTTTGCATTTCAGTGAGGTCTTATCCACAGTACCTTCTATATTATTTTGCTCTTTCATATCATATTACACTTTGTTTTTTTTTCTAGGATTGCTTTGTAATAATTTGTACAGTTTTGCATGTTATAGATGTAATCATTTTTGTTTTTCGGTTTGTTGTTTTACTTGGACTTGCTCCTTTTTGAACAGTTTGGGCGTTTTACTGAGGATAACCCACTACAGGTGATGTAGATTCTTTTTTGCACAAAAAAAATATTTAAGGTGTAAGGTCAAAACAAAAAATAATGTATGGAACTGGCTGCCACACTTATGTGGACAACTCATTATATTAACCTGACTCCGATGTATTTCAATAAAGCGGAGGGCTGTTACAAATACAACAGGAAATGTGTTTCTGTGTCGTCATTTGTTCTGATTATAAAAAACATCCTTTTTGTCCTTTCTTTAAAAAAACAACTTTATTTAAAATGAACAACAAAATGTTTTTACATCTATGCACAGGTTTTGCCACTAGAGGAAATGTTGCTCTAGCATTAACAGTAGCTAAACAGTAAGGACACATGTAGCAGGAGAGACTATTCAGCGTTTGACTAATTTAAGGGCGTTCTATCTGTTCAAAGTGTAAACGTGTGTTCGGACAGAAACTGAAGTGAAATGGAGACAGGCCTGTTTTTGTTGTTTGGTGTTTTCTATCGGTGCAACGTTGTTTCCATTTAGCTGTTTTTCTCTGTATGTTTATGACAAAGGATCCGGATATGTGTCAAGTCAAAACAATTTCCCCTTGTAAAGATCGCTCCGTCTCTAAGCTTCGCTTGTGTTTCTGTCTGAACACATGGTTATGATAAGGCAGGAGTTTGGATTCAGCTCTTGTCCCTGTATTTCAGCCCTTTGATTCAAACTGGTGAACTACAGATCCAGACTTTTCCCCTCTCGTCACATACGACGTACCTCAATATTAAAAACACTTGTTTAAAATGAGACAAGGCTTTTTAAAAAGGTCAGGAGACATACAGTGTAGAGAGCAGATGCCATTAGGACATCGCCATGGAGACCAGAAGATCCACTGTAACCTCGACTGACGTCAGTCTGAACCTCGGTTTTTGGGATTAGCTCGTGGGTCGAGTAAAGCTGACATGAGGACGTTTTAAGGCAAAAATCCACACTCAGTTGTTGGTACTTTAAAGTTGCAGCTGATGTAATCGGTGCTTTTTATAAATAACAGTTTCAGCAGGTTAATTTACCAGAACTTAAGACGAATGAAGCTGAAAAATAATTGTGACATCAAAACCAGTAAAAAATGAAATCTTAAAAAAAAAGGTGAGTTTAAAAAAATAACAGCTGCTTCCTGTGTTTGCTTCTAAGTGTTTTAAGACGGTGACTGGAGTCGTGTGTCCAGAAGTGAAACGTCTTAAAGAAACTCAAGTCCAGTGTCCTTCATAAAGCAATTAGAAGTAAACTGAAGAGGATGAGTGAGCGTCTCCGACCGTCGGTGACGTTCACAGTTCTTTGTACACACAGTAAACAGTAAAACCCAGTCCATTGCAGTGTGTCAGCGTTGGTCACAGTTTCAGCTCAGTCGTGTTGGTCTGACGGTGAAGCCTTCACCCTTCACCATCAGGACTTTCTTGTAGTTTTGTAAACTGGATTTTGAACTTCAGTGTTTTGGGATCAGCTCCTGGATCAGGTAAAGGTGAGAGAACGTTTTAAGGCATCGATCCACACTCGGTCCTCTCCACTTGGACGGAGGGAGCCGCCGTCGAGCTAAGTCAACCATCAAGTGCTGCAGCTCTGAGAGCAACAGCGGGTCCCACAGTGATCACTACATCTGCGTTCTGTCCAGCTCAACACTGGATCCTCACACATTCTTCATCGTTCTAGAAAAAGACAGATAATCAGTTTTTCCTCCTCAGTTCAAACCTTTCAGTCACATGTTCTTCACAGATAAAATCCCAGGTCAGGCCGTGGCACCGTCCTCCTCCAGGACTCTGTGGATCCCGTTTCCTGGAACACCGAGAACAGCCTGAGTGGCGCTGCTCAGGTCCCTGATGCTGCTGTGCCGCGACTGGCTCTCCAGCAGCTGCGTGGAGCCGTGCCGTGATAGGCTGTCCAGACGATTGTTGCTGCAGTGCCTGGGCTGTGATTGGTCGTTGAGGCGAGGCATGCTACCGTAGGGCAGTCGGTCGTCTATGGCCCGGAAACTGGAGGCTGTGTACCTGAGATCAGAGCAGAGACGAACTTCAGAGGTGAAATGTTCTGGAGAGTTCACTAAAAAGTGTGAAGTGGAAATGTGAACCCACCTGCCGTCCCTGGAGCGGTGCAGGCTGCCGTGGTAACTGCTCACTTTGGAGCGTGCGCTGCGGACCGAGCCGGCCCGGCTGGTGCTGGCACTGGGCGGCTCGTCCAGCATGGCCAGGTGGGTGGAGGAGGCGTGGGTGGAGGTCCCCTGGGTGGACGTGCCCCTCGACTTCCTCACGATGGGCGTGTTGGGGTCCCTGAGCAGCAGATGGGTGAAGTCGGGCTCCTGCAGCACCTGGCGGCTCTCGTTGACCATCGCACTGCAACGCGGGATGGAGGAGGGCGTGGAGGAGGAGGAGAGGGGCAGTGTGGGCAGGGAGAGACGCAGGAGGGTGGGGAGGGAGAGGGGGAAGGTGGCGGGGTGGTGGGTGAGGTAGAGGAGGATGGAGGAGTGTGTGGAGCAGGCGGTGGGAGAGGGGGTTAATGCTCTGAGTTTGGAGGGGTGGGGAGTGAGCGCAGAGAGGGGCCTGTGTTCACCGACAAGCCACACGTCTACACACACACACACATTAGAGCAGCACTTCACTCACGGAAGCTGACTGACTGAGAACAATCACAGACACACACTGAGCTCAAAAGCTCCAGGATGAGGTTTGAGTCACAGCAGAAATTTACAATCTCAAGCTCCAATGTTGAATCAGTATTTAGCAACAGAACAGAAGATTTAAAAGATGTTTTACAGAGAGTTGGTCCCTGAAAGATTTAGCACCATATTGTTATATATATGTGTGTGTGTGTGTGTGTGTGTGTGTGTGTGTGTGTGTGTGTGTGTGTGTGTGTGTGTGTGTGTGTGTAAGTACATACTCTTTGCGTCTCTTGCCGTGGAAGAAGCTGGCCCACTCGAAGCAGGTCTTCTTGCTGCCCACCCAGAACACAGAGGGGATTCCCACGATCAACATCATCAGGTACTTGATGAGGAACAGGACCAGGTCAGGACGACTGGTGCTCTCCACCTGCACCCCCACAGAGAGAGAGAATATTGCATCAGTTTCTGTAGGTTTGGATGAGGGAGGAAGAGCTGGAGGTTGAGACAGAATAAGAGAAACTATGCAGCTAATACACCCACATATGGCCTGAAGGCAGGTGTGTGTGTGTGTGTGTGTGTGTGGGGGGGGGGGGGGGTAGTTGTTGCAGACACTGACTTCCTATTGCAAATCTCATATTTAAATCTTTGTAACAACCATACTATCTGCAGCTTTATCATCCAGAACAAATACACAACACAGACACAACATCTCTTCAGTTATTTTCACTGTAAACAACCAAGACCTGTCAGAAACACACGAGCTGAACATTAGACCATCACTGACACCAGATCAGGTTGGAGGCGTAAACACAACAGCAGCCGACACAGTAATTCATTCAAGATAATGTTTGTTGTGATTTAGCACAAATAAAACTGAATCTTTTTTTTATGGTTTTTCTGTTTTAAAATATCTTCTTTCTCTGTCCTGCTCAGCTACATCTCTGCATTTGTAACTTTCTCCTCTTAACTTCAAACCTTCCAGTTAAATGTTTTTCACAGACAAAAAGATTAAATACATGTACATAGAAAATTAACCATTGCAACTGAATACCTATCCCTAATCTTACCCGACCCCTAACTTAGGCCTAATTCCAAACCTAAAATCAGCCCTTTGAGTTCTCAGCTCCACAAAGAAATCTGTACATGAACACACAAACTTATTTGTTCAGCTGATCGCCCTGGAAAATATCATTCAAAGAGAAAAGCCTTCATTCCTGTTAGGAATATTGTTTCAAAACCATAACTATGAAACTAAAATGACTTTTTCAGTCACAGTAAAAATAAGGTCATATTTCCAGCCCAAGTTTTAGACACTGCAGATTTACCACACTGCTGCTTTCTGCCATAGCAACAATATTTCAGCTGCGAACCACATCTCCTTCCTTCTCTCTCTCTCTGTCACACACACACACACACACACACACACACAGATGTAGTCATGACGGCCTCATTATGAGAGGGCCAGGCAGAGAGCCCCAAGGCTCAGCCAGCCACAGATACACCCTTTACAGCAGAGAGATAAGAGAGCGAACGACAAAACCAACATCCTCATGATGTCAACGAGCGGCTTA